AAAATAACAAATATAATTTCCCTCGGACTGTTAAAAGTTAAGTAAGAGCCTAAAATAAACATACACAATGCTAATACAAATAATTACTTCAATATGTCAAAAAAAACGTTGACAATCTTTGTATCATATGATTTGTTTTATGAAAATTAAAGCTCTCTCTACTTAGGTACTTTAGATAAAATTTTCAATTGAAAGATAAAATTGTAAAATTATATCTTTGATTGCTATTTCCTATTTCAGTAAATGTTATGTATTTGAAACTACTTGATACACTTATCAACAAAAAATATCTTTTATTGTACTCAGTATTCATTGAATGGAAATAATGTAACTAATCAATGTCAATTAAGTAAATAATGATTGTTTATCGCGATTACTAAAACAATTTTTTATAAATGTGATAGAATTTCTATTTTACTATTCCAACTAATATAACATCAATGTTTACAAAATTAAAATAAAAATTACAAATATTTTCAGTTAGTACAATCAATTTCATACCAACTCAGGGCCAGTATATGGATAGGAATCACTCCAAAACCACGATGGTGAATTAGTTTCTTCAACCACAAATACTGAAGGACTTAATTCTTTTTTTATTTTGTAATAAGTACATTTTCGCTTCCCATTGCTCTCTATCAGTGTTTCGTAGGGTGGTGACAGAATATCTAGAAAAGCTGCAGGACCATCTAAACTTTCAATTTCATGCAAATTCTTACTATCTGGTTCCAAACAACAACTTTCTGATGATATATCTGCTATTATTTCTGTATTCATTTCTACAACATGAGTTTTGGGTACAAAAATGTTATCTTCAACATTACTCTCCACCTTTACAGTCTTTTCAGTATTTAGAGAAAAACTAGTAATTTTTATTTTGCCTGCAATAACCTTAATAAGACCATACATTTGAGGATGATCATGAAGGGGCAATTTCATTCCAGGTTTTAATACAAAGATTCCCACACTCAGTACATCGTTTTCGTATATATTAACGTATGTTACAGGTGCTTTGTGAGGACGATTCCACAAGGCGTCTGACATAAACAAAGGATCAAAGCCTACGTCTTCCGCAGTTATTCTTTCCAACATTGTCTTTAATAACGCCAAATTTGAATGAAAAACACCTTTTATTTCATTCACACTTGAAAAGGTTGTAAGAGCTTGCCGCAACACAGAGCCAATTTGAGTCACTACAGCTTTTCGAAACATTTTTTACGATCGTTTAAAAAAAACTGTTCAATGTTTTAGTGAATAAATGAAAATTTAACTTTATATCTACCTCATGGACACTGCTTTCAACAACTTTTCACGTCATTTGTCATAAATATTAATCATTTTAAATTGTTTTAAATAAATATTTGTCACATATGTATCTTTTGTGACGTTTATAATCATTTTGACTTGACAGTTACAAACATAGGTTACAAAAATCTATGGTTAAAAAAGTAAATTCAACTTTTTATGGATGGAAAAAGTCGAACAATGAAATCGATTACAATTTTTTAAAAAAAGTATACCAAACTCAAATCCACTTCTCTCTTTTCTTTTTTCTTTTCATTTTAAGAAAAATTGAAAAAAAAATGACAAAATAACACTTGTTCGTCAAAGTCACATTCAATATTTAAATTGTTATTAATAACTAATTATCAACAAATAATAAAATTGCATCAACAATAATCAACAAATCGTCAACAATCGTGATACAATGCTGATACGGTAGATACCAACTATATACCAACTCAATATAGATAAGCAATTCTCTAATAATTTAAAGAAATATATACTCAAAGATCATCCATAGATAAGACATATACAAAATCACAAATTGGAGATTTTAATAATTTAATTTTTAGGATCTACTTTAATCTATAGACGTGTTCAGCCGAACTAAGTCCTTAGTGAACTTAGTAAGTGCTTAGTAAGTTTCTAAGAGTGAGTCGATGACCAGGACACTTCATAGTTACTAATAAGAAACTTTTCTTATATCATCATGTCGACATATTAGTTAGTATTTCACGGCTATTGGGGCATAAAATTTCGAGGCAGTAAACCAAAAAAAAATCAAAGTAAAAAGTAAATTTATTACTACTTATATAGAAAATTACGTATAAAAATGAATGAAGTAATTTTATTATTGTTTGTCCAGTATGAATACACTGATGCTATTTATGCCCCAATAGCC